ATGTAATAAAGATTCTGTACGTGAAAGTTTCATTAAAATTCACTCAATGGTATAAGAAGAGTTGCGGAAAAGAGACGGGGTACCCCAAAGTGTAACAGACAGACGGACGGACATACCGATTACGGTATACCCTCCCACTTTTCAAGCGGGGGATATAACAGAACATTCAGACTGTCATAGTGTGTTCCATAACATTGATTCAGTACTTTCTGTACTTTGATTATAACTAACGATAAAATATCGGGATCGACATTTCGGTTTGTGTATACACGAGGAAAGCACAGTGATTGCAAACCGTACATCATTTCTTGCAGGTGATTTCTCTATTTTTTAAGATAATGATTTCTCTTTATACAATAATACATATTTTGAATGTGTTTTAATCAGCGGGGTCCTTGAATTAGCAACATCTCTCAGTGGCGGATCCAGAAGGAGGGGGGGGGGGGGGGTTACGTGGGTTGCAACCCCCTATTGAATTTGCAAAAAAGAAAGAAGGAGAAAGAGAGAAGAAAGTCCCATTTTTGTTTTTTTATTACATGTATCTATAGATGTTTATATTTTTACTAAAGAACGATAGACCAGTTAAAAAGAAAGTATATGTACAGGCTGTAGTATATCGTTTGTTAAAAACACCGGGGTGACTGGAAAAACCCGAAACCCCCCGATTTTTGGAGAATACCCATACAGGAGGGGTGAAACCCCAATAAAGTGGTGGAAACCCCATAAAATTGAACGTAATGGGGTACAATAAGGCCTAAGGTGGTGTTTAATTGAATGATATTGACATCCGTAAATTTTTATAGCCAATTTTACCTCAGAATCGACGGAAATCGGGCGCCATTACGAGTTTACCGTACACCACGCCCGATCTAAATTCGCAGCGAGCTGTTTATCAATATAATTGTATAGATGATATTAAAATAATTCATAATAATTTCCACAATTATATTTGTTTTACATTGATAATAGTAAAATATTAATTATGTAATAAGTATTTAACAAAAAATGTAAGGACGTTAGCCATTAAGAAAATATGAATTTGTGTATTAATTATTATTCATATTACCCCAATGTTACCATGCAGCTCTAGCCACGTGGAGGCCTCCTTTTTGTAGAGCCATAATTTAAAAAAAAAAATTTCATATAGGATATTTTAGAGAAAATCTGAATTTAGAGATATGAAAATATCCAAAAGCTTCAAAGCAAGATTAACAAAAAAAAAAAAGTAAAGATAAGGCCATCTTTAAAAAACATTTTTCGGTCTTTTGTATGGTGTATGTGATACATGAAAATGGGCAAAAAAAATGATGAAATAAACAAAAATCTTTCTACTTTTGGTCAATAAAATTTTTTCAGTAGAGTGCATTTCAATGAGGCGGGAGGCAATTCAAAACAAACTATACTTTTATTTTGACCTAATTCATTACTTATTTGTTACAAAGAGAACAAATAAATAAATAAAATTCAAAACATGAAAATACTGAATTTATTTTTGAGATTTTAGACAAATTCTGAATGTAGGGATATAAAAATTTGAAATTCAAAGGTTCAAAGCAACAATAATAAATTAAAAATAAAAATAATAATTACTTATATGTTACAAAGAGAACAAAAAATAAATCAAAGTCAAAAGATGAAAATACTGAAACCTGAAATAAATAGTAAATTAAAATAATATATCAATTTTAAAATATATAGATATTTTATTTCAAAGTAACTTTTTTAAGTTCTTTTCTTAGAAAAAAAAAATTTACATCAGTTGTTTACATGCATTTTGAATTGTCTTTAAATTACAACAAATATGAAATAAAAGAAAAAAAAAACAGAAGAAAAAAAAAATCACACAACAAAATAAAAAAACTGAAGTTTTGATGGAATTTTAACTATAAAAAATGTCTGTCTGAACTGGTTGAAAGATAACTAAAATTATTTGATCATCTCCTAGCACAGGTATTTTATGTAATTTTACATTTCATTGCAAGCTGAATCTGTCGACTAAAAATTTCCATTGCCTCTCTGTTCAAACTAATCCCATTGACATGCCAAATGTTTTTATTCGAATTCATTAAATAGGACAATTGAAACTAGTAGACTCACATGATCATTTCAGAGTTTCAAAATCAGTGTGGGTGACCAAAACGACAGACGAACGAGATAGGTTGTACAAAAGATTCAAACTTTACATTTCGCCAGACAAAACGACGCTTACATCAACTGACGGTACTACCACTATAGTTAGACCACGTACCTTAGGTAAAAAGATAGGTCTGACAAAAACGTAAAAAAGTGGACAGGACAACAACTTTAAAAAAATCTAAAATACAGTAGATCGAAGGCCAATAACAGTCAGTCTTAAACCAAAAAACAAAACCAAAAATGTTTTTAAGATTGTATATTTATTATTTTTTCTAGAGTAGGGTTAGTATCAGGCAGTATTCCTCCCCCGCCAGACGGGTACAGACCAGTGAATACTGTTTGGTGTTGTGTTAGGTTAGAACGTAGAATAGGGATAGTATCAGGCAGTATTCCTCCCCCGCCAGACGGGTGCAGACCAGTGAATACTGTTTGGTGTTGTGTTAGGTTAGAACGTAGAATAGGGATAGTATCAGGCAGTATTCCTCCCCCGCCAGACGGGTGCAGACCAGTGAATACTGTTTGGTGTTGTGTTAGGTTAGAACTTAGAATAGGGTTAGTATCAGGCAGTATTCCTCCCCCGCCAGACGGGTGCAGACCAGTGAATACTGTTTGGTGTTGTGTTAGGTTAGGTTAGGAATGTTATTGTTTTTTTAAATGTTGCTAATTAAATTATAAATTCCTTTCTCTAAAATTTTTATTATGTTATTTTATTTCATTTATATTACTTTCATTTGGCTGTAATAATTTAATATATGAACAAAAGATTGACTAGGAATAATGATCCAGTATCTTTAAGTTTTTAAAAAATCTTTTTAAAGTTTTTTTTTTATCTTTCAGTCCTTTGGTTTTAATATTTTTGTTTCAAAATTCAAATCATGGCTCTACACTTAAGGAGGCCTCCACGTGGCTAGAGCTGGGAACATAAGGAAACTATGAATATTTTCAGTTATTACTAATTTAAAAGGTCTTTATTTATTAATTTGTCATGAATTATCAAAATTATCAAAATTCATATTTTCCTTATGTGTGTGCTAGTGTCCTTAAAATGAAATTCTGTAAAGCATAACTGTACAATTGAGAATAGTAAAGGTTCAATGTATATACACATGCCCTGCCAGAGGGGGGTTGGTCAGACTAGCTGGGAACCCAGGTGTTTAAACAAAAGGTGTTTATTATCAAGTTGACCAAGTGTCAACAGCTGTGTATATAGTGCATGTACACACACAGGGGTGCCTGTCTATCCCAGTACAAAACAACAGAGCTAGCTGGGTTGTGAATAATATTCTCACAATAAAGTTACAATGCCAACTGTACAAGGATTCACATATGCAACATGCACATTTTTATTATTTTTTATCAGACTTTTTTATTTCATAGACCTAGATCCTAATAATTTCATTGTAATGGATACATGTTGCTTTCACATATCAATGAGTATATTTTTTTCTATTACTTGCATAAAAAACAAAACAAAACAAAAAAAACAAACAAACCAACAATAAAAAAAAAACACCCCCCCCCCCCCAAAAAAAAACAAAACAAAACAAAACAAAAAATTAGTAACTGGAAAATAATAATGAATGAATTCAAAAATTAATTATTAAACATAGAAGAAAACATTTCAAAACAAACACCTTAATTAAAAATTAAATAAATTAACAAACTCATTCATTAGTTAATTTAATTTAATTACATGTTATAAATGATTGGAATTGAGAAAAATTACTTTATTCCTTGATTAATGGACTAGTTAAATTCATAAAAAAAAACATTCAATTAAAATTTCACTGTAATGTCTTTCATTATAATATGTACATTAACACATTCATTCATTAATTAATTTAATTTAATTACATATTATAAATGATTGGAATTTATAAAAATGACTTTATTTCTTGATTCATGGACTAGTTAAATTCTTTTTTAAAAATTCAATTAAACATTGCACTGTAATGTCTTTCAACATGATAAATATTTCAAAGTTCTTTTATATTCTTAAGGTTTCCTTACAAATAATTTTTTTTAAAAATAATATTCATACATAATATAATATTCATATTGATCAAGATTACAGTAATTATTTCCACGGATTACTCGAAACGACTTCAGCGATCGCGAATTTAGATCGGGCGTGGTGTGCAGTATATCAAGACAAGAAGAAACCCGTCGATTCTGAGGTAAAATTGGCTATAAAAATTTACGGATGTCAATATCATTCAATTAAACATCACCTTAGGCCTTATAGTACCCCATTACATTCAATTTTATGGGGTTTCCACCACTTTATTGGGGTTTCACCCCTCCTGTATGGGTATTCTCCAAAAATCGGGGGGTTTCGGGTTTTTCCAGTTACCGAAAACACCGTGCTTCAATCACTAGATTTAGCTACGATTTACCTACATGTACCTGGGGTAACTTCATTTAGCTACCAAGTCAATTTATTTCTAGTAAAAAGCATTTTTCAGAGGATACACATAAAATCTCATTTAGATGCAGTGATCATTTTCAACTGCATTTTCAACTTTGAACTCATCTGAAAACAATTGTTTTGAACATATTTTATTGACAATATGTCAAAGGGATCGGACACAAGTTCTAACAACTTAGGTAGTCCTCTCCCATATATAAAATCTGCATAGCCATACAACATACTTTACAAAATTTTACAATAATATATACATATACATAGAAGAACAAAGATAATTTTTTTCTGAATGAGGAAATAATATCAATTACCGGGTATTAATAATGGTGATAATAAATACAGTGTTGATATTATAAAAATATAATAATTTCAATAGAGATAATACAATTTATATAGTGTTAATTAAAACGACCTGATTCCTGAATAAATTTTTGAACAATTCCGAAAATTTTTTCATTTTCCTGCGAAGATAAGGAATCATCTCCCCATAGCAATTTGTGCACATTAATCATTTTTACATTATAAGTTAAAAGTAGTGCATTCATCATTAGGCGTCTAGGTTCAAAATATTTTCTACAAACAAAGAAAAAATGATGACTATCCTCTTTCATACCACAAGAACAATTTGGATTACTTATGATATTACATCTATACAGATCATTATTTAAAATACAATTGTGTCTTAATTTTGTATGTAAAATGTTCAGATACCTTTTGCCATATGAAAAATACTTGGGAGGCTTATCATTATTATTACTCAATTTTCTTTTAAAAATTCCTATTGAGGTTATTTCCCTTGTTTCGTTGCTTAGTGAATTCCATTTGCGAACAGTATCGGGGACAAATGATTTGTTGTATAATTCAAGCCTGCATTTAGGTAAAGAATAATCAAATGAATTTCGAGTATTGTAATTTGAAACAGTGTTTCTAACCATCGGTACAATGTTTTTTAAGTAATCAGGAGCTAGGTTATTGTGGATTTTAAACATTGTTAAAAGTTTTGCTTTGTCTCTTCTTATTACAAGAGGTTCCCAACCTGTTTCAATATACAACGAATTTCTTGATGCTAATACTGAAAGACCAGTCACTATTCTAGCGGCTGTCAGTTGAAGCTTTTCAAGTTTATCAATATCTGCCAGCGAACAGCCTGACCAAACTTCAGATGCATACTCAAGTTGTGGTCGAATAAAAGAAGTGTAAAGTTTGGATAACGTATCTCTAGACACTGAAAATTTAAGTTTCTTGAGAAGTCCTAGTTTTTTGTAGCCTTTACTGACAATACTATCAATATAATCTGACCAACCTAATTTAGTTGAAAAAATAACACCAAGATGTTTATGTTGAGCTACATATTCTAACTGACAGTCTTCAAAAAATAATTCAGGTAACTGGTTTATATTTTTTAAGCTGAAGAATAATACCTTTGTTTTACTTGGATTAAATTTCATTAACCATTTTTTGGACCACTCATCCAGAATTTTTAAGTCATGATTTAGATGATGTTCAATGAGACGAACGTCACTCGAGCTTTTTTGTAAAGAATTATCGTCTGCAAATAGTCTGCAAACAGTTATCATGTTTTCAGCTACATCATTCACATATATCAAAAATAAAAGAGGGCCAAGGACAGAGCCCTGAGGTACCCCAGCATGCACATTTTTCACAGAAGAAAATAAATTTTTATACATAACTTTCTGTTTTCTATTGTACAAGTAACTTTCCAACCATTCTAACATATTACCGGAGATACCATACATTTTTAATTTATAAATCAAACCCCTATGCCAAACCCTATCAAAAGCTTTTGATAAATCACAAAAAACCATACAACAAATTTGCCCTTCATCAATACTTTTTACAATAGTATGATAAGTTTCTAAAAGTTGGTACACAGTTGAGTGACCAGGCAGAAAACCTGCCTGATATTTATAGAACAAATTATTTGTGTGAAAAAAATTATATACATGTTTGAATACAACTCTCTCAAATATTTTACTTACACAACTCAAAAGAGATACAGGTCTATAATTTGAAGTGACTGATGGGTCATCTTTTTTAAATAATGGAAGGACATGTGCTAGTTTCCAACTTTCAGGATAAACTTTGAGTCTAAGAGATTTATTAAATAACAGACAAAGTGGCTTAGCTATGGATTCTTTACAAGATTTTAACATTTTGTGGCTGATACAATCAGGGCCCACAGCTTTATTTACGGGCAGGATAGAAATAATATCAATAATCTCACTTTCTTGGATATTTACGTCACAAAGTTTTTCTACATTTTTGGACTCAAAATTAGGTAGCTCATATTCCTCATCTTTTATATCAGAGATGGTTGTAAAAAAGTTATTTAGTAATTCAATTTTCTCTTTATCGGAAAATGCGTATATAGGATCACCATTCTCATTCACCTGTTTAATAGGGGGTATTTCGGATGAAGTTTTAGTGTGAAAGACATCTTTTAGTAATTTCCAGTACAGTTTGTTATTATTTTTGTTTGCGTCGTTTAAATGAGAATCAATGTTGTCATAGTAGTTTGCTCTGGCATATTTTTTCATATTATTTACTTTATTTCATACATTCTCTAGAAATAAGATAATTTTTACGTTTTAATTAACTTGTACATGAAGACAATTATGACATTGGATGTGTTTGGGTAACTATAATTTTTCTATCCTATCAGAATTTCTATTGAATGTCTAAGGCTTCTTTACCCATATTCATAGTTTAATCCTACTAATAAAATGCTTATATGCCCACAAATGAATGGTTGCTTCACAAATATCTTTTTGAAAAAGATATTCATATAAAAATCACTCTTGAAGAATTGTCTTTTTCTGCGCAATTGCAATCAAAGATCTGAAAGTTTTGGGGCTATGTATGACAGTCAGTTACTCCTTGAATGAAATGACAAAGAAGTCCAGTTCTGGTTAACATGATAATAGGTTGGTAAGTATTCCGCACAATGTGAAGTAATCATACTCAGTCATGCCTCACCGCACCCATTAGAGAGGTTGTTAACCAAACAATGAAATTGCAATTTTTTTTCTCCAAATCGTCCAAAAGCAGCAATGTATAAACTATTTCTGCTTTGGATTTTTTTTAATCCTCCCTAGTATAAATATTAATAATAATTCAATTGCGATTTTTTGTCTTTTTTTCAATAAAAAGAAAAATTGTGAAAAGTTTGATTGAAATAGCTAAATTAGCTACCTGAGGTACATGTATTTAAATAAAGCTACGTAGGTAATTCTACCCTATGTAGCTAAATCTAGTGATTGTACTGGACCTGGCAAATATTCCGTGAAAGGTTAATGTTGTAATATATAATGAAATTCAGTTGTGCGTACATTTGAATGAAACCACACCCCTTTAGAAAATAAGATTTACTGGTTCAGAGATCTATTTTCCTTTCTTTTCAAAAAACTCCCAAGTATTTCATACTAGTACTTTTTCCCAAGTTGATGAACCTCCCACTTTTAAAATCTGTACTCCAACTGGTATCTATCATGCCTTTTTAGTTATTTATAACTACATGTATGTACATGTAAAAAGTATGTTGTAATAACTTTTTTCCCTTTCTACCCCCCCCCCCCCCCTTTAAAAAAATTCTAGATCCACACCTGTCTTTTAAGGCATGAATCAATCTGATCAAAATGGTAACGCCACTAAGTTGTGACAAACTAGTCAGCTGCTGCCCAGTGCTGCCTGCTGGTGGGTCATCCTCGATTCCATTTTAAGGAGGCTGGCGGGTCAACAATTTAATCTTAAATTTACCACCAGATTTAATTTATTTTTTTTAGATATGGTATATTTAGCTGTCAAATATCATTTGGCAAACAAAAAATTCATATATATATATATAGATATTTTAGTTTTAAAATTTTATCACTTTGTATATCTTTATATGGAGCTCTCCTTTTAAAGGAGATTGAAATAGTCTAAAAATGGCTGCCACCCTCTAGCCTGGTTAAGTGGCTTTCTCCCAGTTATACCTGTTACCTGTAATTTATTTGTTCTGGATGGCCTCCATATTTGGAGGATAGCAAGATTTCATATGGCGGCCAAATTTTTAATGAGATTTAACAAAAAAGTATTCAATCAATAATCCATAAAACAATACAATATAGGAGTAGAGCAAACACGGACCTCCAAACCATAAGAGGAGCATCCCCTGCCGACCAGTCACAACCATTGTGTGATCCTTATGATGATCAGGAAATAACGGAAAAATTTCTTGTCAATTCAGTGTATAGGCCTAAATAATGGCCTTATAATTAAAATGAAAAAAAAAAATCAGTCAGCATTCCACTCATTGATAAATTGTTTCTGCTGAAAAGATTGTTATATCGACCATATAATGATTGTAGTTTAAAAAATGAGGACAATCCATAAATTTAAAAAGGACACAATGTGTCAAAATCATATCTTAATTTTAAGATATCTGTAGCATACAGAGAAATACTTATGAAAATTATGAATATATAGCGAAGATATGACAATAAAACTGCAAGAATTGACTGCACAATATAAGTGCCGGACAAACAGAGGTTCTACCCTACCATTTCATTGTTTCGTATATGTCAAGGTCATGCTACTCTGTGGTTGTGGATAACCAATTGTAAATGGGATTAAAATTTCCTGTGGGCAATAAGATATTAAATATCTAGTCACCTACACGACAAACAATTTTTTTTGTGGAACATAATCACGTTTTTAAATTTTATGTACTTTCAGTTTTGGAACAAATACTATACTAACCAAGATTATTTGAATTGCATGAAAGCATATGATTATGTGTTACAGGTTTAACAGGAAAAATTACGTTATGATGTCAAAAGTCAAGACCTGGCATTTACCTCTAAGTGATGAAGACTTTACAGGTGAGTATAGATCATGTACCATGTCATGTATATCCCCTACCTGATGAAGAATTTATAGGTAAGTACAGATCATGTACCATGTCATGTATATCCCTTACCTGATGAAGAATTTACAGGTGAGTATAGATCATGTACCATGTCATGTATATCCCCTACCTGATGGAGAACTTATAGGTAAGTACAGATCATGTACCATGTCATGTATATCCCCTACCTGATGGAGAACTTATAGGTAAGTACAGATCATGTACCATGTCATGTATATCCCCTACCTGATGGAGAACTTATAGGTAAGTACAGATCATGTACCATGTCATGTATATCCCTTACCTGATGAAGAATTTACAGGTAAGTATAGATCATGTACCATGTCATGTATATCCCTTACCTGATGGAGAACTTATAGGTAAGTACAGATCATGTTAGTGTGTTCCATAACATTGATTCAGTACTTTCTGTACTTAGATTATAACTAACTATAAAATATCGGGATCGACATTCCGTTTGTGTATACACGAGGAAAGCACAGAGACTGCAAACCGTACATCATTCCTTGCAGGTGATTTCTCTATTTTTTAAGATAATGATTTCTCTTTATACAATAATACATATTTTGAATGTGTACCATGTCATGTATGTCCCTTACCTGATGGAGAATTTATAGGTAAGTACAGATCATGTACCATGTCATGTATATCCTCTACCTGATGAAGAATTTATAGGTGAGTATGGATCATGTACTAGTGTTGTTACGATAGTCGCTGACTATCGAAAAATCATCGTTTAAAGGCCCAGATCGGCGACAATCGATTGTAAATATTATCATCGTTAGATCGCTATATTTTTCATGCCGTATTTTTTAAGCCGATCAAGTTTAACTTTTATATTAACCAAAGGGACGTCACTCTAATCGGCGGTAAACAAAATGGCGAACGTGCATAGTGATGATGCCTAATTATATCAATATCCTGGTGCAACACGATCTAAAGTTTGAAATATTTTGGCTTTCTGAAAAAGGGCGATGGGCCTCCATGCAAAAATAATATACAGATGGACTCGGTTATTTGTAAATTGTGTAAAATGTCGTATGCCAATAAAGATAAGTTGAAGTTCGCGGTCAAATGTCATGGAATTCTACTCGTGCTTAATGAATAAATTTAACCTTTTTAATAGTTCAAATTATCGATTATATAATCGATTGTGTTCTTCCGATTCAATTTGATAATCGATAGTAAAATATGTCCGATTTTACAACACTATCATGTACCATGTCATGTATGTCCCTTACCTGATGGAGAACTTATAGGTAAGTACAGATCATGTACCATGTCATGTATATCCCTTCCTGATGAAGAATTTATAGGTGAGTATGGATCATGAACCATGTCATGTTTGTCCCTTACCTGATGGAGAACTTATAGGTAAGTACAGATCATGTACCATGTCAT